CTGGGTTGGAAATGAGAAAGAAAAGAGGGGGGAAAGGTAGCAGGAGTTTTTACTTTAAGGTTATTAAGTATTCATTTTCATCAAATGGCGGTGCCATGGTGGAATTCTACCTAACCTCCATTCGTAATTTGTGAAGGATGGTGTTATGGCGGCGCCATAGGCCGCCATGACGGCTTCTATAGAGGGATTTCAACTTGCCATAATTTCTGTATCCGTTGATAGCACTGTCTTGAGTTGCTTGTTTGCCATTTGCAATTACTTTAAAATTTTAATTTGTGCGGATAGGTAAACATTGCTAAAAGTTAAATCAATAAATTGTTTGCAAGCATTTTTTGTATGTAAGTTAGTTTTGTCTCGGAACCCTTACGGTTAGGGCGAAGGTTTGGCTATGTTTAAATAAAAATATCATTTTAGGCCAGTTTTCGCGATTCCAAGCAAAGAGCTTCAACCTTTTCTAAATCGACTTTTTGAGCCCATGAAGCGTTTCAAAAACTTTTCCAAGCAAATAATTTGGAGGTATTGACCAAAACCCTTTATATTGGGCTCTAAACACTTATTTTACACAATCCTCTTATTACCAAGTCCATTAGGTACCAAAAATGTCCTGCACCAAAAGGAGCTTGTGGAAATTGAATAGTTAAAACTTCATACTCTTGTGAGGAGCTTTATGTGCTGTTATATGAATAGATGCGTTCACTGAAAACTCTTGCGAGGAACATTTATTCGGTATATATGTGAGATATTAATTTTTTCTGTTGACAATTATCTCCTGCAATAGTATTTATAGCTAATATCAGACATTTTTCTTCTGCTTAAAGATGACAAATCGTTAGACATGCTTATATCTATTTCTCATGTTATTTCTCAGTTGTCTATGTTTTTTCCTACTCTTCACACTTTATTTCTCATTCGCATGTGACATTTTCTTGTTTTACAGGATATTTTTGTGGAAGCAACCCTAACAGAAGCTGATTATAGTGATTTTGATAGTGATTCAGGGGCATCATCTGACTTTGGTGGTCATGGTCAACCTAGGCAGGCAACAGAGAGAGATTTGCTTCTGGTGATTTTCTCATCTTGTGCAACATTCTTCACCCAACCCCCCCTTAAATTGTAGGAAATTATGAACATGAACAAGTTTAACCCCGTAGGCTCACTTGCTTCGCGTTGCTTGTTCTCCCAAAGGACCTCTAGGTGATGCTTTGCAAGAAATAACATCAGAGCTCGTTAATCTAGGGGTATGTATTTCTCATCTTTTGTTGGAGTAAATGACTTTATATGTTGCTTGGTTTTGTAATTTATTAATACTTGCTGCTTCTAATTTGTTGCTTTTCAGATTCTTTCAGAGGGTGTACGGGATATGGCCATCAAACCGTCGTCATCCTTTGATAAAGCATTTGGTCGTGTCTTTAGGAAGTCGATCGTGAGTTAGTTGTGCATTTTTTTTTCCTAGACTATGAAAGTTGGACATCTATTAAGTTGATGGTATTATTTTTTTTTCTCTCTAATAGGGTTCATCAAAAGTCGCACATTTTTGGAAAACAGCGTCCTCTGATTTTGGAGGTGAAAGTTCTTCAATTCCAAGTTCCCGATATTTAAATGACTTTGAGGAGCTTCAACCACTTGGTGAGGACACATTATTTTGTGTCTTTTTTTTATTTTTTATTTTTTTTGCATATCCCTTAACATGCTTCTTGCATTGGTTTATGAAGGATTGGCGAAACTGACTTATCATTCATTTGTTTATTTATTTCTTTGATTGCCCAAATTGTGTGTGTATAATTTGACATAATTTTATTGTATATCCCTCTGAGAGGAGCCCCCAGTATTGTGATCGATAGCATCAATATCTAAACAACATGAGTAGCTGTAACCCCACTCTGGTTAAGGCGTGTCCAATCATTTCACCATTTGTAGTGCTGCAATATTATCTTGTGTACCGGATAGTATTGGCATGATATTTTGTAGTATGTTTTTTGATAATGATCTACACTTTATATATTAATTGTGGTATGGATGTTGCTTCGAGTACCTCCTGGGATTGTCACATAACTGACTAAGTATAATCAATATTCTTTCCTCCAAAACAATCTGTGTTGATTTATAAAGATCATCCACTAATATAAAATATCTCATAATCAAAAGTTTCCCATGTCCATTTCTCACACTCATTGGATAACCTTTTATTGGAGAGCTTTCGTATACTGCCAAATGCATTACGCAGCACAAAAGTTGCATTTCATTATACACAGATCAATTGACCACTTCAAAAAAATTAGCAAAACTTGTTCTTATGTGAAATGAATAGACTAGCTTGTATAGTACAAGGTAATGGCTCAAATAAGATTTACCTAACCAATGAATCATAATGTCTCCACTCTTCACAGTTTTACTATATCTGATCATTCACCAAGTATCATTGATGTTGGTTTTAATGTAGTTGTTTCTAGGAGAGTCCTATTTAGAATGTTGGAAAATTTACAGGTTGGCTGATAATTTGTTTGCTTTCTAGATGCGGTTGGTATTTTTAATTTTCTTATAAATTCCTTTTAGCTTCTTATGCTACTTCCGTCATTTTTCTATTGAGATGAAATTTTTCGTGTGTGAAACGATATTTTTTTCACCATTGACAGGTCATGGAGGATTTGGTCATGTTGTGTTATGCAAAAATAAGCTAGATGGTCGGCAGTATGCTGTGAAGAAGATTCGCTTAAAGGACAAAAGCCTGCCTGTAAATGACCGTATATTGAGGTCTGTATATCTTCAGCGCTCCTGAGGATTTCTTAGTTTTTTCTTTTTCTTTTGGTTTGGGTGTCGGGTGGTGGTGGTGGTGTAATTGCAAAATATTGTACTTTTGTGTTACTATTTTTAATTTTAGCTACCACACTTTGTTGTGTGTTTTTATTGCATTTTTTTTGTTAAATGCTATATGGTAAGCTCAGTTATAGAGTTGTTTAGTTTAAATCGACAAGCAAATTTATTATTTATCTTGAAACTTATGACATGTAGAGAACTTCTGGCTAAACCAAAAGTGTAAAATGAAGCTCTCAGGTGTAAAGAGGTTCCGAACCCTGAAACACGGCATTTTTTTTTTTCTAGTTTGATGTCATTGATTTCATGGCTATTTTCTTCATTCTTATTTTCATTTATGTTCTTTCATTTTTCTTTTCCCTGCGGGATTGATGCTTATATTTTGCAATTGTAAATTTTGTACTGTTCTTAAAGCTCATTTGTATTTGCTGCATTCCATGTGAACACTTCCATTGGGGAAGGTTTATCTTGGAATTGCTTGAATTACATCTCTTAAGCGACATTCATATTAACTTGTTAGATTTTTACCTATGTTTCAGATAACTGATTATTATGTTAGATGTGTGTTGTGTCTCCTTGTACCTGTACTTGGATATATATTTGAAATATCTCGTAATAAACTGGAAACAACTTTGCATTGTACAACTTTATAAACATGTTTTTTATTACTATTTAAACATGTTTTTCGTATCTTTCACTTCTTCAAAACTTTTATGAGGAAATTAATTTTTATCTGGAATCTCTTCTGTTTTTCAAACATGTTTTTTCCTGTCTCACCCCTTAAAACTTTACGAGGAAATTAACTTTTATCTGGAATATCTTCTGTTTTCTGTTGAAGTTCTATACATATTATACAATTTCTATTTTCTCTAATAATCCGTATGGGATATTTTTTCAACATATAACCACCTTATTTCATTATTAATGTCATGTTCATGTCCTTTCTAATAGACTAGTCACACTTGTGATGAGCTCTTACAATAACTGCAATGTATATGAATCATTTGCATATTAGTTCAATCAAAGTAAATGAATTATAAATTTTCCTTTCCTGCCATTAATGATCTTGACAAATTATAATTGGATTATTCAACTTGCAGACATTTTTTTAACCTCCTCTTGAACAAATTTCTGCAAAATATGATATTTAAAGCATTTCCAGAGGTTAGTAGTTTAAATGCTAGCCTATTTGCATTTCAGAGTAAACTGATTTTATGTTATATCTTGTCTAAAAAGTTCTCATCAGAAAGAAAAAAATTTGGTTTTGAGGAAGTCATATCCACAATTATGTGAATAATAAAAATAATAAAGATGAAAACAAATAATCAATTTTGGTCCGACATTTAGTAAAGTTCTCAGACTGAATCCTGCTCAATGTGCAGTCGTTGTGTATATGTTGAAGTAGTGATAAAACGAGATTTGAAACTAATAAAATTATGAATTTAATTCAGACAAACATATCTAGAAGTTCAAAGACAGTACCATTAATATATGCTGTTCTATGAAACACATTAGCGTTAACTTCGTGATGGTGGTTCGTCCTTCCCAGTTTATTTTCTTCATTTCCCATGCTTTTTTCTGAAAAGAGTTGGTTAATGCAAAATTTGTCTGTCGTCATGGTTATACCCTTGGAATTACTGATTGATTTGTTGTCACACCATTAAAATGCAAATTTTGTCTGTCATGGTTAATGCAATTTTGTCTGAATACTGTCTTCTTTTATTTTCATGATAGGTACGTCCGATTTCATCCTTGCCTTTCAGTCTTATGGTTTTTTATTTACATCATAATCATATTCTCATTTCTGACTGCATTAGTCATCCCCTCCCACTTGTTAATAGTGTTTTGGGTTCTCAATCTTGGTTTTTGTTAAATTCATATGTATTTCATGCAGAAATCTATGTGCTAGTGCTTTATGTTGTTATATCACTTTCCACTATAACATTCTACTATGCCTACTTATCTATCAGCTTGTTTGATCAATTGTGATATGGTTTGTGTAGGGAAGTCGCCACTCTTTCTCGTTTGCAGCATCAGCACGTTGTAAGGTACTACCAGGTATTATGTCTCGAGAATTGTTTGCTAGCATGGTTTTAAAGTCATTCCTTTCTTTATTTTTTTCCCACTTATAATATTTACAGTCGGAATGCTTGTTAAAACTAATTATCACTGCTTGTTAAAACATTATAATGGGCCAGAAAGGATATCATATACTTTGAAGAAATTGTTTATCATTTGAGTTGTCTGCATTTTCATGTTTATTTTGACTTGTTATATAATGTTTCAGGCTTGGTACGAAACAGGAGTTCCCGGGAACCTTGGGAGTACTGCATTAGGGTCCAAAACTGGCATGTCTTCTAGTTTCAGCTACCGGGACACTGGTTCTTCAGATCAATTTGCAGATGCAAATAGGCTCGAATCAACTTACCTCTATATTCAGATGGAATACTGCCCAAGGTTAAGCGTCGTTCTCATATTCCCAATTTTTCTCCATTTCGTTGATTTTTAGAACTCTGGGTTTAGTATATGAGTCAAGGATGGAGAGAAAGTTTGGATATGTCTCCGCACCTCATTTCCTAAGTCTTGAACTGATTTGGCAACTAAAAGTACATCTATTTCTGATTTGTTTTTGTTTTCTGTTGGAAAGCTCCCTGATTTTATTCTAAAATAGACTAAGAAATGATAATGTATGGCTGGAAGTGCATTTTCTCCCCTACCCTTGTGTATAGTCCTGCCACCTCTGGAAGGACAGTGGGAGATTGTCCAGTAAATGTAATTAGTCCGAGGCACCTAAAAGTGGGTAAAGTGACTATCAGTTCTACTCACAATTTTCTGGGAGCTACAAATAATAATATATTTAAGGGCTAAAATGTTTAACTATAGAAGTAGTTTGATTGAATACAGAGCTTTTTTCTTCAATCAAAGTTTAGCAGATCTTTTGAGCTGTATTCTGGGTACTTGCGTGCATGAATAATATTATTTCTTATGAACACTAGGACATGAATAATATGGGGAGTGTGCAAGCGAACATGTGAAATTTCTGTAGGTTGGCTGCCTACAGAAAGGCAAGCAAAGTGACATCCACATGCATGAATTTATGATAAAAAGAGTCTGGAAGTGGAAAATTTTAAGAGTTCAAGTTGAAATCAAGAATGTTAGACCCTCAATACCCGAACACCTTTTTGCCACACACAAAGAAGGTGTTCATTAGGATATCGTAATTCTTGATGGTTCCAAATGTTATAAGTTGAGTGCTTCACAATTTCTTGTTAATCTGTTTAGTATATCTTGCTAACTTATTCTTTACCTGCTTGGTTGAAGGACTTTGAGGCAAATGTTTGAGTCTTATAATCATCTTGACAAAGAACTTGCATGGCATTCGTTTCGACAAATTGTGGAAGGCCTGGCACATATACATGGACAAGGAATTATCCACCGTGATTTGACACCTAATAATATCTTTTTTGATGCTCGCAATGATATAAAAATTGGGGATTTTGGTCTGGGTAAGAAGTAAAATTTTAGCTCATTCTGTTGTTATGCTCATCCCGGTGACGAGATAAATTTATCTTTCCTGATACTATGCTGTTGACAAACAGATTATGGAGGTTTTTAAGGAGCAATGATTTTTGAGTCTTATGGCTATAATTATACAGTTCTCCTAAATTTTATATTTTTCTATAACTGAGAACCCATAACTATCTTTTAATGTGCTTTTTTTTCTTCATTCAAAATACTAGTCATCTAGCAATCTAGTGAAAAGACTCAGCAGATAAACATGTTAGTCAGTCAACCCTATTATAGGCCATTTGAAGTACCTGTAATCAGAGGTAGCAGAAAGATTGACTGGATAAACATGTTAGTCAATGCAACATATCATTTGTCAATATTAACCGAAGCTGTTTTTGCTTCTCTTATTGAATCGTCTCCGGAGTTCTACTTATTCCTTATCTGCGTAATTGAAGTCCATCTGCTGTAACTTCTCACCATGTTTTTTTTCTCGTTTCATGCATCATATGATCTGCTAATTTGTTGCCTGTTCAGTTCTTTGACTTCTATCACACATCAGTCAGTACTTTGATTTTATATCACCTCATTTACTAGAACTAGCAAGTGTTTTATCTAGGAATTAACGCGCTGAAAGAAGGCATCAATGTTTCAGTGAATCTCCATTCAGTGAACTTGTATCTTTTATTCTTTTACAAATGCTTTTGAAATAAATTGAACAGTCCCTTTAGCCAATGGATTATCAAAATTATATAGGTTGGTAGATTAAAAGTAAATGTTTATCCTTTCGTGAATACATTTCTATAGCTGTCTCCTTGATTGCGGGTATACACCTTTTGCTGAGTTGTTTGGATTTTCTTCAGTGTCTAAGTCAAACTTAGTTTTTGTGCTGTTTTCCAGCTAAGTTTTTAAAGCTGGAGCAACTGGACCAAGATGTGGATGCTACTGAAGCAATTGGAGTATCAATTGATGGTACAGGTCAAATTGGTACTTATTTCTACACCGCTCCTGAAATAGAGCAAGGGTGGCCAAAGATTAATGAGAAGGTTCTCTAATATTATTTTCATTTGTAAGCATTAATGCATAATCGTAAGATTCATCTATCAAGGTAGCTTATATGCGGTTGTCTCGTTTCACGTATACATAGGCTGACATGTACAGCTTAGGAGTTATGTTCTTTGAATTGTGGCATCCATTCGACACAGCAATGGAGAGACATGTTATTCTTTCTGATCTGAAACTCAAGGGGGAACTCCCTTCTGATTGGGTCACGGAATATCCAGAACAAGCATCCTTGCTACGGCGTCTGATGTCTCCGAGTCCATCTGACCGTCCATCAGCCGCGGAACTTCTCAAGCATTCTTTTCCACCTCGGATGGAGTCTGAATTACTCGATAGTAAGTCTGTAAGATATAATCCTGCAGTTTCCTTGTTAGTGAAGTGCAACTTCCTTGCATTTTCATTACACTTTCATTGCACTTTCATGGCAGCCATTTTGGGCTGAAGAATTTCTAGGAAAGTCACTAGGATAGTTGCTTTTAGTTCTTATAAATAGGGGTGCAGTTTTTATTTGTAAACACAAGAGAAAAACTGAATACTCAATACATTGAGTTGTTCAAAATCTTCTTCTTCCATCCTAAAATTGAACGAGTAGGGACTAACAAGTGGTATCAAGAGCCATGGCAAGCCAAGATGCTGCGTCGACGGTGCAAGGAAGCGGAGCAGACGCTTCACTGCGTCATCATCCACAGGACCGTGCGGGACGTTGGCTGGGGCAACTGGCCGGTCCTCACACGCACAAACTACGGCGAGTGGGCGTTGCTGATGAAGGTCAAGTTGCGTGCGCGCAAGCTTTGGCGGGCCATCGAAGATGGCACCGAGGATGAAGAAGAGGACTGTGCAGCGATGGAAGCGATTCTGTCCGCTGTGCCTCACGAGTACGTGGAGTCGCTGGGCGCAAAGGACTTCGCAAAGGCTGCTTGGGACGCCCTCAAGGCCATGTGCATCGGGTCTGATCGCGCAAAGAAGGCGAAGGCGCAGCAGCTGCGGCGGGAGTACGAGGCTGACGTTCCACGACGGCGAGGCAGTGGAGGATTTCTCGCTCCGTCTGCAGTCGCTCGTCAGTCAGCTGGCGGCGCACGGCGTCACCATCACCGACGAGGAGGCGGTCGCGAAATACTTGCGAGTCGTGCTGCCTAAGTACTCCCAGATCGCGCTCTCCGTTGAGATGTTAATCGACATGTTCACCCTCACGATTGAGGATGTGACTGGGCGCTTGCGGGCGGTGGATGACCGCGTGGAGACGGCGATGATAACTACCAAAGGCAAGTTACTGCTGACCCAGGAAGAATGGGCGGCTCGTATGCGCGAGTGGCGGCCCGGGGAAGGCTCCTCCAACCGTGGTGGCTACGGCAAGCGCCGTGGCAAGGCCCCACAGAAGAAGAAGGACGGCGACAACGCGCGTCCGATTGACAAGGACACTTGTCGACGCCGCGGGAAGACAGGGCACTGGGCTGGGATTGCAAGAATCTCAAGAAGGAGAAAAAGAAGGCGCACCTCGCGCAGGTGGACGATGAGGAGCCATCTCTTCTCATGGCGAAGTTCTGCACGTTGCACGACGTCGAGCCAGAGTTGGAGAAAGTCAAGGCGGCGGCTACGGAGCAGGGAAAGGCACTGCAGGCAGTTCACCTCGACGAGTCGCGTGCCCAAGTCCACCTTGGACGAATGGGCGGTGGCATGGAGCAGAGGTGGTACCTGGATTCCGGCGCCAACAACCACATGACCGGCTCCAAGGAAGCATTCTCCGAGCTTGATGACGGCGTAACGGGGACAGCGAAGTTCGGCGATGGCTCGAAGGTGGAGATTCGAGGTCACGATACCGTCATCTTCCAGTGCCAGAACGGCGAGCACCGCGCATTGACGGATGTGTACTATATCCCGCAGTTGCGATCAAGCATCGTCAGCATCGGGCAACTAGACGAGCATGGCTGCGAGGTGCTTGTCAAAGGCGGCGTGCTAAAGCTCAGGGATCAAGAACAGCCGCTGCTGGCCATGGTCCAGCGTTCCTGGAACCGCCTCTACCTCCTCGACTTGAAGGTGGAGCAGCCGGTGTGCTTGGCGGTAACGCACACCGAGGAGCCATGGCTATGGCATGCTCGGTTCGGCCATTTAAACTTCGACGCACTCGGCCGACTGAGAAAGATGGTGCGCAGGCTCCAGCACATCGAGCACGCAGGCGAGCTGTGCGACAGCTGCCTGGCAGGGAAACAGAGGCGGCTGCCCCTTCCCAAAGGCAGCCAAGTATCGTGCGGCGGACATCTTCGAGCTCGTCCACGGCGATCTCTGCGGGCCGATCACGCCGGCTATGCATGGCGGACGGCGCTACTTCCTGCTGCTTGTGGACGACTGTAGCCGTTTCATGTGGTTGCAGCTCCTGGCGAGTAAGGATCAGGCGGCGGAGGCAATCAAGCGGGTTCCAGGCGCGGGCTGAGGCAGAGAGGAAGCGACTGCGCGTGCTGAGGACAGATCTCGGTGGCGAGTTCACATCGGTGGAATTCGCCGCATACTGTGCAAACCAGGGGGTGGTGCGCCATCACACTGCGCCGCACTCACCATAACAAAACGGCGTAGTGGAGCGGCGGAATCAAACCATGGTGGGCATGGCTCGAAGCATGATGAAGCAAAGGGCATGCCAGCGGAGTTCTGGGCAGAGGCTGTGAGCAAGACGGTGTTCATTCTCAACCGTGCGCCCACGAAGGCCCTGAAGGGCATGACGCCATTCGAAGCTTGGCATGGTAGGCAGCCCGACGTCTCGTTTCTAAGGACGTTTGGGTGCGTTGGCCATGTGAAGAAGACGAAGCCCTTCTTGTCCAAGCTTGAGGATAGGAGCACACCGATGGTGTTCCTAGGCTACGAGGAGGGGAGCAAGGCCTATCGGCTCTACGATCCGCGTGGAGGCAAGGTGCTGGTTTCGCGGGATGTGGTGTTCGACGAAATGGCGGCCTGGGATTGGCGGCCTGGGATTGGGAGAATCCTGGCACGGGTGAAGCCCGTTGCGTCAGCGATACGTTCGTCATCGAACATTTGGTGATCCACGGAGGAGGAGATGCGGGAGTAGAGGAGCCAGCTGCGGACGCGCTAAGTCCAGCAGCTGTGGCGGCGTCGGATGAGCCGCAAAATCTGGCCATAGCGGGCATGGGCGAAGAGTCTCCACCAGCGGCTGCGCACACGCCTCCACACGGCTGGACAGTGGACACCTCCAGCAACGACAACAGTTGAGTTCGCCTCTCCTCCAAGCGACATCGACGAGTATGTGGATGCCTTCCACGACGGCGAGGGGGTGAGGTTTCGCAGGATGGAAAACCTCGTTGGCAACTCGGCTGTACCAGGCTTGGCGAGCCGATTACTCGACGATCAGGAACTGCTCCTTGTCAGCGCAGAGGAGCCATCGACTTTCCCGCAGGCCGAGCGCAATGTCCATTGGAGACGAGCTATGCTAGAGGAAAATGAGACGTGGGAGCTCGTCGATCCACCTCCAGGCTGTCATCCAATCGGGCTCAAATGGGTCTACAAGGTCAAGCGGGACGAGTGTGGCGCTATAGTCAAGCACAAGGCGTGCCTCGTGCTCGCGGTTTCGTCCAGCGAGAGGGCATCGACTTTGAGGAAGTTTTTGCACCAGTGGCGTGCATGGAGTCAGTTTGCCTACTACTGGCCATGGCGGTAGCAAAGGACTGGCGCATTCATCACCTGAACGTGAAATCGGCCTTCCTCAATGGCGAGCTAGCGGAGACTGTTTTCGTCAAGCAAGCCCCGGGTTTCGTCATCAAGGGAAAGGAGCGCACGGTGCTGCGGCTACGGAAGGCACTCTATGGGTTGCGACAAGCCCCGCGAGCGTGGAACGCCAAACTCGATGCCACTCTGGGTACGCTTGGGTTCACGCGCTGCGCGACAGAGCACGCGCTCTACACGCGACGACGGGGGAAGGAGGAGCTCGTCGTCGGTGTGTATGTGGATGACTTGATCATCACCGGGGCACGAGAAGAGGACATCAACGGTTTCAAGCGCGAGATGGCAGCTCGTTTCCGCATGAGCGATCTCGGGCAGCTTTCCTACTGCCTTGGCATCAAGGTGAAGCAGGGGAGAGACTCCATCACTCTCTGCCAGCGTGCGTATGCGGGGAAGCTGTTGGAGCGGAGCGGCATGGTTGACTGCAAGTCATGCGCGACTCCGATGGAGGAGCGGCTGAAGCTGACGAAAGCCAGCACCGCGGGGAAGGTGGATGCAACACTCTATCGGAGTATCGTCGGCGGGTTGCGCTACCTAGTCCACACGAGGCCAGATATCGCCGTGGGCTATGTCAGCCGTTTCATGGAGGACCCCCGAGAGGATCATTGGGCTGCGGTAAAGCGACTGTTGCGCTATGTCAAGGGGATGGTGGACCAGGGCATCATCTTCCCCAAGACCGTGGCAGTTGAAGTGGGCTGCGGCTCACGGTTTTCAGCGATGCAGACATGGCAGGCGACATTGATGGGCGGAAGAGCACCTCCGGTGTGCTCGTCTTCCTTGGATCGGCCCCAATCTCATGGCAGTCGTTGAAACAGAAGATCGTGGCGTTGTCTACGTGCGAGGCGGAGTACGTCGCGGCAGCCACAGCGGTGTGTCAGGCGGTCTGGCTGCGTCGGTTGCTGGGCGAGCTAACCGGCGAGGAAGCTCGTTCACCAGCTCTGATGGTGGACAACCAGCCCGCCATTGCCCTTGCAAAAAATCCAGTCCTCCATGACCAGAGCAAGCACATCGATATCCGTTTTCACTTCATCCGGGATTGTGTTGATGAAGGACAGATTGTTTTGGAGTTTGTCGAATCCGGACGGCAGCTCGCAGACATCCTTACTAAGCCACTCAGCCGTCTTCGGTTCATGGAGCTGAGGATCAAGATTGGAATGGTGGGGAACAAGCAAGAGCAGCAGGATTAGGGGAAGAATTGTAAGATATAATCCTGCAGTTTCCTTGTTAGTGAAGTGCAACTTCCTTGCATTTTCATTACACTTTCATGGAACTTCCATGGCAGCCATTTTGGGCTGAAAATCAGCTTAAGTAATTTCTAGGAAAGTCACTAGGATAGTTGCTTTTAGTTCTTATAAATAGGGGTGCAGTTTTTATTTGTAAACACAAGAGAAAAACTGAATACTCAATACATTGAGTTGTTCAATATATTCTTCTTCCATCCTAAAATTGAACGAGCAGGGACTAACAAAGTCATTGGTGCCTTTGTGTAGAATTTCAGTGACTAGACTAAAAATAGCAATTCACGAGGCGCACAACTGCAACTGGTGACTTGTATACACATATCAACCTTTGCTTGTATTATGGTGTGATTGTTTAGATGCATCTTGTTTTTTCTCAACATGAATTGCATCCACGTCATTGACCTGGTAGTGGAACTTATGCTTTTCTTCCTTCTTTTTGGGTGTCTGTGTTTATAATACCACTCTCATCAAATAGATTTTATTGACAAGTTGACACCAATGCTTTTATTTTGGAGGTTCATTTATTTTAGTTGGTAAGGTGGATTATAACAGTAGCCGAATGCCTGCCTACTCGATCGTTTTCTTGAAGGCTTTATTCTGACATCATTGTGGCAATATATGAATTTTTATATCTAGTTGGAATTTGATTAAACACTCACCTATAAAGCTTATACGTTTCCGGCATGGTTTTTCAGATCTCCCCTCAGCAGTAAAATTCTGAATTATTTTTGCAAAACATTAGGGCATAACAATCTCTCCGATGTCTTCTCCAAATTAATCTTCTGAACTTTAATATGAGAGTTTGCAAAAGATATGTATACCACATATATACTATATAAATATATCATAATCATTATTTCGATTTTGTTTGAAAAACAGCAGTACTCTATATTATCTTCGTGTTCTCTGTAAGTACATGAAAAGCACTCGTTTATGTCCTCTCTTCCCTTCTCCTACATTGAATAATTCATAGTTTCTATTTTCTTCATGATATAAATGATGTGTAGATACATATTTATACATCTGTAGTTTGCCTTATTAATTTAAACTTTCCTTTTCTCATGAATGGTCGGAAGTACTCACTAGTATTTTGATGAGTTTCAAACGACACTGTTTGAAGAGAAGTTTCAGCCGCTTTTAGTTTGCCATAGGTTCTACATATCAGTGGATGGAGTTATTCCATTGTTTTTCTTTTCTCCTTTTTTCTATTACAAAACAAAACTTTGCAGGAAATATCCATTAGAGGAAGTAAATGGTTTCATCCACATCTCTTGTTTTCATTTACTAAACTAGATTGTATAAGAAGCAGTGAACATTGTGTGCAATTGAATAAGTGGCAAATTTTAATTGTCTTTTAACTTACGTTTTACACAGTTTTCTTAGTGAAAGATTAAAGAGGTTGCTATAGGATAAGTCTGTTGTTACAGTTCTCGGATATCTTTGGGCACACTGAGTTTGTTTTGTTTATGAGTTTTACAGAGTAATCTTTCTTATACTCTTATTTGAGTTGTTCTATTGATTTTTTTTTTTACTGGGAGGATATCTTTAAAATTTTAAAGAATTGCAGTGAGAGCTCATAATGATATTTCATTTTGATATTCAGTGAATTTTTTTTCTTAATGAACTGGCAGGTTTGTTGCGGACAATTCATAGTTCTGAGGATACGAGTGTTTACGAAAAACTGGTATCAGCAATTTTTGATGAGGAGATTTTAAGCACAAAGGAAAATCATGAGAATGTTGGAAGGCTGAAGTTGGTTCAAGATGATACTTCATCAATTATTTTCACAGATGTGGATACTGCAAACCGGGATTTGGTTATTGATATTGCGAAGGAAGTTTATAGAAAGCACTGTGCAAAACATTTGGAGATAGTACCAGTGAGAATATTAGGCGATGGCCAGCAGTTCAATAGGTATTACTACCATTTCTTCCTCCCCTCTCTATCTTACTGTGTGTTATTTCATTTTCAAAATATGGCTGATTATACTGTTCTTTTCTTGAATATGTCCCGAAACATTAAGGAATACTGTCAAAATGTTAACACAAGGAGGAGACATGGTTGAGTTTTGTCATGAATTACGCTTTCCGTTTGCAAGATGGATCATGGCAAACCAGGTATGTTTTGTTCTTTATAATTAATCAACTATCCAGAGTGCATTCTTTTAAATTACAGTGTCCTACAACTTTAACATGTTCCTTATATTCAACGCTGACAGAAGCAAGCCTGGTCATACATATTTGTGTCCTTTTGAAAGGTTTCTTCTGTTATTCTTCTTTTACCTATTTTCTTGTTGGTTTTCTGATATGAGCAACGGATCCGCAATTGGTCCAGATGCACAAGAACCCTAGTGGAACAAAAGAACATTAGAAAAGGATTGAGAGTGAGAACAAAGCCCAGTTACTTGAGAAATTATGTGATGCAAAGAGTATATATATCAATTAGTGGTGTGCGGTGCACTTTTTGCTGTTTTTCTTATCCGTATTGTACCTTTTATTTGAGGGAATGAATGATTGTTCTGCTGTCAATTCCTTTTATTTCATCTGCATTTATTTTTCCTTCTAATTTTGTTAAGAGTAAACCACAACATTTTCCCAGTAGGTTTTAGCACAATTTCTACAAATTGTTTCACATTGCAATCTAGCATTTCCATACTAGTCTGGGGTATTTAGATGGGGTAATTAGATGTCTGTCACATTAGTCTAAATTATTTTAAGGGTAATCATCATGTGTTCTTTATCTTCGTTTATTCTCGTACTATTCTCTTTCCTTTACACCACTTAAAGTATAGCAGTATATTCCTATGCTTTGATATCATTTTATCCTTCTTTTTATCTTGCTGAATGGTAAATTTGATTATCCATCTGTGTCATTTTAATGGTTCAATTTCTCATATTCACACAGATTTGTAAAATGTATTTGATTTACATGGTCAAATCCAGGAAATGCCCAATGTTCTTATTATCCTTTTATTTCAACTAATTTCTATTTTTATTTCTTTGTATAGTGCTCAAAATGGCTGCATTGATTAGGGTTATAAATAGGAAAAATGAATCAAATAAACCTTGAACTAGCAAAACAGTCTATAATTTTGGGATAAACAGAAGTGGATGTATGGGAGTATAAGAATGGGACAGAGGGAGTAGCTTATTNNATCATGGGATACTATCTTTTGGTTGTTAGATGCATGTAGCCATGGTAACTTTGGATTACATCATGACATTTGGTACTTTTGAATTGTGATAGGAATAGAGAATGTGACAAGACTCTTCAGTTAGTCTTCTTCTATTTTCAACATTAGTATGTTTAAGATTTCTTTTCTCATTGAAAACTGTTGGAATGGAAAAAGATCAACTTGTTGGCTTGTTGAAACCTGTTCTGATGTCGAGGAGTCTTCAGTGACTAGTGACTAAAGAAGTTCAGCGGGCTGATCGCATGTTCTTGAACTAAATGGTTCTTTTAAATGCCCTCTGTTCTAAAATTGGCTAGGCGCCTGCCTAGGCAGCACTTAGGCGCCACGATTTTTGCATGGGCGGTCATTCTAGGCGCTGGGACGAGTAAATGGTGTCTAAACGGACTAGGCGGCGCCTAGGTGGTTGCGAAGTTACTCAAGCCTAAGCTGGCTACGTGGTCTAGACGCCTCTTAAGCGCCTGTATCTATTTTTTTTTTTTATTTTTTTTATTCAATTTAATTTTCAAAACAATAAATATAGTTTTAATTTTTATGCATGAAATGTACAATAATTGTACAATAGAAAATATTAATACTCATATTATAACTAATACAACAATTATGAATGCATTAGATCTTGCACATTATTTTTTTTTGGCCATATTAATTTATATATTTTATATAATGTATCTTATATAAATAAATTTATTAATATTTTCTGCTCTCCACCTAGGCCCCGCCTGATGAGCGCCTAGCGACTTTTAGAACATTGTAAATGCCTAATGCTTGTAAATGTTTGATCTCCACATTGTTGTAACTGGGAATTCAGATTTTGTTAATGTTGTCATTGGATATATTTGAGACTTTTTTAGGATTTGAAAATCTTAAAATTTTCTTCTTGTGCAGAAATCATATTTCAGGCGCTACGAAATATCATATGTATACCGCAAAGCAATTGGCCATTCGCCTCCAAATCGGTATCTCCAGGTCTGTTTGTTTTGGTACAGTTACGCCACTGGTGTTATTTTGGAGAAGAACCTAATGTGGATGTATTTAGATAACAGTTTCTGTTTACAGGGTGATTTTGATATCGTTGGAGGAGCAACTGCCTTAACTGAGGCTGAGGTCATAAAGGTGCAATACTTGCAACTAGCTTTTTTCTTATGTACATATTATCTGATTTACGCACAGCTTGAATGCAGTTCCTTTTTTTCAAATGACCATTGCGAATCTTTTTACAAAACTTTACAAATTTACTCTTGTATTATTGCAGGCAACTATGGACATCATCTCTCGTTTCTTTCATTCAGATTCATGTGATATTCATTTGAATCATGGGGACTTGATGGAAGCAATATGGTCTTGGACGGGTATCCAGCCAGAGACTAGGCAGAAAGTGGCCGAGGTAGATCAAAAGTTGATCATGCATTTATGATGACAGTTGGGTTTCTTCTTCCTTACAATACACATTTCTTGGCAGCTTCTCTCCCTTTTGTGTTCTTTGCGTCCTCAGTCTTCAGAACGAAAGTCAAAATGGGTCGTAATTAGGCGCCAACTACGGCAGGTATGCAGTAAACCCAGAAATTTGTTTTGGACTTTCTTTTCTTCTGTCTGTTCATGATTTGCAGCTATAGTTGATGCTTCTGCTATTGAATCTTTTTGGATATCCTGTTAAGGTCTTAGCCAATAAAATATAACGTCTTTAGAACTTTGGTTTTAAACAATACTGGTAGTTGTGTTTGTGTTTGTCCCACATTGTGAAGTTACTTTGGGCTGATGTTTTGTATAAATAAGGATATTGGCACCCTCTCCATTCGAGATACTTTTGGGGATGTATCCAAGGCCATTTATCTTGTTACTAGAGCACCCTAGTTCCTTTGCTTGGAGGTGTTTGGTTTGGACCTGACCTATTTGGAATGGCACCCTACATGTCGCTGGAGGGTGTTAAGAGTTGTATTTGTGCTTGTGTTTCTCCACCCCACTAAGTTATTGGGCTGTTGTGTATAAATGTTGGTTGTGCGCCCTCTTCTACTGAGCGAGGTTTGAGGATGAATCCTCATAGGATCATTTATATTAGCAATAAAAGTTGTTGCTAACTGCTAACTGTTAGAGAACCCGCGCAATTCCTTTTCATTGCTTGTGCAGCTCCTAACAAATAAATGCTTAACAAAAATCATGAAGAATCTTGGGAAGAGTATAACATGAGACTCATATAATCATATTTTCCTTGATGTAAAGGGAAATGTAAACTGCGGATTTGATAAGATTTACTGTTCTTGTTTTATTTAACCCGGTAGGATATTCCTTTTTTTTTCTTTTTTCTTTTTATGCCTGCGTGTGTGTCTACGCATGTGTGTGTTATTTGCCAGAACCGAATTACTATCAAATTAGGAAAATGCTACATTGCCAACCTAGTGTACAATTAGGTTGACAACACAAGTGGAAACATCCACCTGTGCATTTTTTTATTTTTATTTTTTTTGGATATTTTCACTTGTGTTAACCTAGTTGTACACTAAGTTGGCAATGTATCATTTTCCATCAAATTGCGCCTCTTTTCTTTTTTATTATCATGACGTTGAAGCATTCAGGATATGGTTCACAACACTATGTTGGGTACAGTTGTGTAGTATAAACGACTAGGTTGAATGTATCTGGAAACAACTTGAAAATGTTAATTTGTAGAAAGATAAATGCCAATATTTGCCTATGGTTTGGTGTTCCTTCAGACCTTCATGCTATGTATCTGGTAGAGATAAATACTTGTGTAACTCTGCAAATCTAGGTTCGATTAATTATGTCATGGGGAATAGTTTCAGGGTGTTCATTTATGATATGTAATTTGTTACAAACCTTAGGGTTTTGGACAATTGGTACATTCACATATGAAGATGCTCATATATATAGACTTGGGGCTTTAGTATATATGGGTTGGGCACATGGGCCTATATATACCTAACACTCCCCTTCAAACTCAAGACGTAGATGGAAGATCCGAAGCATCGAGTTTGAGTAAGTGAAGTCGATGTTGTTCTCTAGTTTGTGCTCTGGTGGAAAAAATCTGCCATAGTTCTGTGGGTACATACTGAAGAACAATTGTTTTCTGATGACAATGAGACCGAGTAAAGGAAGCTGTGTTTTGTTATGATCATGCTTTTATTGGCAATTTGTATAATTCCAGTATTATCACAAAGAATAGGTATAGGAGCATAACATGGAATACCAAAATCAAAATCAGCTAACAACCATTGAAGCCATATAATTTTTGAAGTGGTAGTGGCAAGTGCTCGAAATTCTGCCTCTGTGCTAGAGCGCAATACAACGGCCTGCTTCACGTATTTCCATGTAAGAGGAGAAGGACAATAAACAATCTGTTGGATTACTCGCCCAATTAGAGTCCGAGGAAGCATGAAGCTGAAACGGACTATCACAAGCATAAAACAAACACTGAGATGATATGCCCCTTAAATACCGTAACACACGAAGCAAATGTCCAAAATGAGTTGAAGTAGGTGCACTCACAAACTGACTCAATATGTGAACAACATGAGCAATCTGCCCACGATATGCCAATATCGAGATGTTCTCAAGAGGCGAACCATCAGTAGGACGAAATAGGACGAAGCTGCAAGTGAAGATCCATAGGTGCATCACGTCAATGTCTAAGAAGTAGCTAAGAGGACCCAAATTTGACATTTAAAATTGTTGACCGAGTTGTTTCTTGACATTGATTGAATGCCTAAGATACTGCTAAGGGGATGCTTGGATATAAAATATTGTGATTTTGTTTGGATTTTTTGGTTTGATATGGTTAATTTTGAAAAAAGTGGTATAATTTATATTAAAATAATATTTAAAATAAAATAATAAAGTTGATTTGATGGAAAGTAGGAGAGAGATGATGTGAAGTGATGGTTAGTTAAAATTACGTGAGTGGATGAATAGTGAATTAAAGTTGATGTAATGTGTAAGAATGATTGAGTGATATTATTTAATTATATTGATAATATTGAGGATAGTTGGGTTGAGTTAAAGTTGAGTTAGATTTGAGTTAAAAAAGTGATTAGTTAAAAATGATTGGAATTTTTTGGAAAAATTTGTATCCAACATCCCCTAAGAGGACCCAAATCTGACATTTGAAATTGTTAACCAAGTTGTTTCTTCACTCACATATTTAATTAGAGGATCAGTACAGGCAAAATCTATAGATATCTGTGAAACTTTGAATATTTTCCGTCATTTTCTGTTTCCAGGAACTTGATCTTGCTGATGATGCTGTAAATAGATTACAGACGGTAGGACTACGGTTCTGTGGAACTGCTGACCAGGCTCTTCCTAGACTGAGGGGTGCCCTGCCTGCAGGTACATTGTCCTTAATTTACTTTACCTTGTTTATATTTGTTTTTTCTTTTGATTTTAGGAACATTAAATGGGAGTTAATGATAGATTGTTACTGCAGATAAGTCGACACGCAAAGCACTTGATGAATTGTCAGAGCTGTTTAACTACTTGAGAGTTTGGAAAATTGATAGACGGGTCTTTCTTGATGCTCTTTTGCCACCCTCTGAATCTTATCACCGCAACTTGTATTTTCAGGTATTATAACCGGCTTTTATGCAAAATAACATTACGTGCTAAAGTGTCCGAAAGTGTGATATCTGCTAAACATCTGGAATATATGACCATAATGCATAGCTACATTCTGGGAAATGGCAGACTTGGTAAAATTTATCATTAGCTTATTTTTTTTCTTCGGTAAATTTTTATTTCTTTATGCAGATATATTTCAAAAAGGAGAATACTCCTTTATCACTTGTGGAAGGGACACTGCTTGCTGTTGGTGGTAGTTATGACAATTTGCTTCAGCAAATGGCCAATTCTGAATATGTATGTTATGGTGATGTTTGTCTTTCCTTATTCAAACTTCACTCTTGGACTTACATCTCGGAAAATATATTTGTTTTGTGACAGTTGGTATCTTTTTGTGGACAATGAGTCATATTTCATGTTTCGGTTTAATTTTCAAATAATTTGTTTGCATCACCTTATAATTTTCTGTTTGAGGATATTGCAACATTAATATTGTGCTCTTTAACTTGCATATTAATTAAATCATCACATGGGACTATAGGTATTCTAACATTTGTCACATTTGAAGAAGCAACCATTACAAGATTGCTGTGAGATCTAAGCTTGAAAAAAAAGAAGAAGAAATATATCATATTTGACCATCTCTACTCTGAGGCATTTGCAGTTCCATTTTTCGTCTTGTATAATAAGTTATTGGCAAACTTTTGAACCGGATCCCTAAACTGGGTATTTTTTTCCATTTAATGCATCTGGCAGTAACTAAGGTGATGCCTTGTTTACTGCAACAGAAAGAAGAAAAAAATGATTGTGTTTATCGTTCTTCTTGAGGCGATGATGTTGCTGGTCATGTATGACCAATTAGTGAGAGTATATCTCAATTTTGGGTTATAGGACATGCTTTTACAAATTGACATGTTCTATACAGGGACATGGTCATTTTGCGTCTTTTCCTTTTCATTTAGCGCAACAATTATCTTTACATGTTTCCCGCACTAACCAATGTGTTTGTAATGCACCTCTCCTCAGAAATCAAATCTCCCTGGTGCTGTTGGGAGTAGCATTGCTCTGGAGACTATTTTTCTGCATTCTTCTGTTAATAGTAAATTCCATAGGTTGTTTCTACTTTTACTGAACTTCACAGTTACTCTTAGTTATCATTTGATGCGTCTACTCAATTATAGCTATTACCTTATTTCATGAACAGAAATGACACTGGCACCAATATTCTTGTCTGTTCAAGAGGAGGTGGGGGTTTGTTACTTGAGCGCATGGAACTTGTGGCCGAACTATGGGAGGAGAATATAAAGGTTATTCTCTAAACTTATTATAAGGCTTGACGTCCGTCCAGGTTCTTTTGTGATGTTTTTAGCACAATCTGAACTTAATGAAATTTATATATGCAGGCCGAATTTGTTCCTTCACGTGATCCAAGCCTCACAGAACAATATGAATACGCAAGCGAGTATGATATAAAATGTCTTGTTGTCATCACTGATGCTGGTGTATCCCAAAATGGTTTGGTCAAGGTTGGACCCTTAGCCTATTTGGTTCTGATGATGGATTATTCTGCTGCACATAATTGATCTGAATAAGTGCTAGGAGGATTTTGGTGAATCTGGTATTAATTTAATTATTGGGAAGAGACACAACTTCTTTACTCTTCAACACATTTCATGAAGTTAACAATAATATTGTCAGTAGATTGACAGAAACAGTGTTGGTATTCAGAAACAATGAATAAGTTAATAATTAGACTAGTTTACAATTCTTCAGATTTTAATAATTGACTTCAGAAACAATGAATAACTTCTTTACTTTGCACAGTTTCTCTTGTAATAATTGACACCTATGCCTATGCGAACCACTTTTGAGAAGTTAATAATTAGACTAGTTTACATTTCTTCAGATTTTAGGTGGAGATGGACATTAAAAAGGTTGATATTCTGTTTCCACAATTAATTATTTTCATTGTTATTCAAGATTCCGCCACTTTCTAGCTTATGTTTTATGATTTTCCAACGGTAGTCCTTATAGTACTTGTTGTCGTTGAAACCAGTGTTACAAGGCAAAGTATGTTGCTAATCCTAGCTTATGACTTAGGTCCGACATTTAGAGCTCAAGAAAGAGAAGGAGGTTGAGAGAGAAAACATTGTCAAATTTCTACTGGAGGCAATGGCTACTCAATTTAGAAACCCATCCATCTGGAGTTGAGTCTGCATGAATTTCTCAAGGTTCGTCTGTTTACTCCATTGTTTGTAACTGAGTATTGACGTTTGTTGGACAAGTGTGTTGCCAGCCCTGTGTCCAATTTCTTCGTCTAGTCTAGTTGTATTGTTTCTATGTCTTATTTGCGACTTCGTCATATCGAGATGGTAAATTGAGCATTTGTTAAAAAAGAACTAACTCATCCTATACGACAGTCATATTTTGGTCAAAATTGCTTATGCTCAATATGGCGTAAATCTTTTTCTTTTTTAATTTAATGGCTAATTCGGCACATTAACTGTCCTATTTTCCTTGTACTAGGAAGATGCACGTGCTACGCACGTCATATTTTTGTTTTTTTTTTTTATTAAAATTATTCTATTATTAGATTTAATTTAATAGTATTATATAATTTTCTTTCCATTGTTTAACAAAAATTTGTGTATTTTATTATAAAATATAATATATAATACTATTAACTAAACTCTATGACAAATAAAATTAAATAAAAAAAAATATTGGTTAGAAAATCTAAATAAAATTAATATTTTTTGTGAAATTTTAAATGCTAAATAAATTTATGTCGTCCTTGATTTTGTTATTTAATGATATCATCATTATTCTTAAAATAATAATCATTATTACTGTCAAAATAATAGTTTTTTAATGTCTTTCTTTTACGTCATACTCTTTGAAAGATAACTCGAATATACTATAACTATAATTTGTGATTATCATTTTTTTAATTATTGATTGGAAGCTAACACTATGGTTGAATATTTCGTTATCTATTATTTTGATCATAACTGTTGAAAATTCAATTATATTTGCACGTGTAATATTTCATAATATTTAGATATATATTTTCTCTCTGTATATAATGACATAAGAGATATAAATATTTGAAAATATCTTTAAAGTCGTAATTATTTTATAAAAAAAAATTACTTGAAAATTATTAGGAACAATAACATCCTTGATTAATTAAAGGTGACCATCTATCTATATATATTGCTGTAACATTAGTTGATTGAAGGTACCTATATATGTATATTGTCCAAAATAAATTATTGTTGCATTTCTTAAAATTGCATGCATGCATTATCATTTTCATTCATGGATTTTCAAGACTATCTTGAAAGTGAAAAATGAGTTATTTTAGATAAATTATAAAATGATGATTCCTTTATATTTTATATTTTATCTTAATATAATTTTTATATATTTGTATAGAGGTTATGTTTCCTACTTTTGAGAAGTGATTTGAAAATTATAATTTATCTATGATTTATAAATAAGATTGACTAATGAAAATTAATTTTAAGTAAATGCATTAATAATTTTTATTCAATTGATTTTAATTGTAACTATATATTTTTTAAGAAGTACACATATTTTGAAATTCAAGATTCAAAATTGAGTGTTAAATATTTTATTTTATTTGTATAATTAATCTATTTTGATGTATATTACAACTAAAGTAAATGATAGAGTAATTTATGTAACACACATTATCATAAAAGAACATTCATACTATACATACTATTACTTGGTAAACCTAAATCGTATCATGCTTATTGTTTTAGTGAATAACTAAACAAAATAATCCTATTAAGACTACATATTAATTCACTTAACTAAGAGATTTTTTCCACAAAAAGATTGATATTTTGTATGTTGAATAACTATTTTTTATTCAATCATTGTTAAACATATACATGTTCACTAAATTATTTCTCTTTAAATTTTTTAGTGCTATAACAAAAATATCTATAGTAAAATAGGATATTTGGAAATTAGATATGATAATTTCATTGGTGCGTTATATATTTTTCGCTTATGAAATAAATATATTTTAATTACAAAACCTTAAAATAATATTCTCTCTTACATTTAAAAACTATATTTTGCTTAAATTTTATTTTTAATTTATATATTTGTTTAGATAATCTTAACGTCTTTATATCAACTAAGAGAAATTAAATTATTAAATAGGTAATGAAATATAATAAGAGATTAATAAGATAATCGATGACAAAAAAAAAGGTAGAATGAAAAATAAATTGATTGAAAAAGTGATTGATTGTAACTATTAATATTTGTAACTCCCTCACAGTTGTGACAAAATCACATTAGTAACCTTAAAAATTAATTATAGCGCATGGAATTTTCGACAATTCAATTTTTTCAAGAAACAATTCTCCCTTATAAGATAGTTATTTCAAAATCAACTTCAATCCATTTCAATTAAATCCCATAGTGAAAATGAGTGAAGTTATTTTGATTAATTTCGATTAAACTAAAAAAGAGAGTAGATTATTTATTACAAAAAAAATGTAAATTTACTTATAAAAAATGATTATTATCGTATTAACTTGTTATCATGATATATACTTTAGTGGATTTTTACTAAATTTTGAAAATGACAGTGAACATTCACGACCATTCAAATGTAATTAGTATTCAAAATACATCTTAGATTAGAGTTGATAATAATAATTTGTAACTCATTTGCTCACATTTAATTAAAAGACTAATACATTATGAATGTTGAAAATAAGGTCCTAAATTATAGTTTCATTTTTTAAAATTTGAAATTATAAACTCATCATTACATGTATTTTATCTTTATATTAGATATGAGTAAACATTTAAAGACATAGTTATGAAAATAAACATTGATGAAGGTAATTTGTAATTAATATGTATTGAAAATTAAAAGGAATATTTATTATATATTTTAATACTTATTATTACTTATATGTATTACTAACTTTTCTAAATCGTGGAAGCATCATACTACTTTTTTTTTTTTTAATTTTTTCTCTATTTTACAAGAAACATATCTACCATAAATAATGAAAATACAACCATGATAAAAAAAAATATTAATCATAATATCACAATACTAAAATATCCAAAAGAAATAATGAATACAGTAAATATCCAAAAGTTATGTTTTTTTTTTTTTTTTTAGGGTAATTGGAGTTTTAGATTAAATGAATAAAATGAATAAAAAGTAATATATATAAGTTATGATTTATTGTGTTGGCTCTATTTTGGTTGGTTATAGGACAACTACATTATAATAAACTAATATGAATAAGTATGTATAATGATTCTCATTTTCTGTCCAAATAAAATACACCAAAATATTATAGAAATAAAAAAAGAATAGATATCAATATTAACTTATTTTAATAAAATATTAATATATAAATTTATTAATTGTAAAATACTATATATCTCATACAGTTCAAATAAAATACACAAAAAGATAAACAAAATAACATAATAAAATAATAATTGGATATCAATAAACAATTATTATTTTAGTAAAATGTTATTCATTTTTTTTTTTCAAATCAATTAACTGATTAAGTTATATGAATTTTTACCATGGGTGCAATTTTAGAGAGAAGCGAAAGCCATGGGTAGTCGTCTAGTATATTTGTAATTTTTTCTTTATTAGCTATAAAATGTAATATACATACTTTTTACACATGATATTTAATATTTTTTCTTCATTGTCTTTTCTAAATAAATCCTAATTAAAGATTTTGGATATTTTAGTGGACCGTGAAATGTGGAAGCTTAATACTACCTTTTCTATTTTTCTCTAATTCATAAGGCATCCCCACTATACATAACGAAAATGAAAGTATGATAAAACATAAATGAAATAAAACATTGATGAAGGTAATTTTTGAATAATATGTATTGAAAATTATATAAAAGGAATATTTATTATTTGGCTTAGTACTTATTAATTCTTATATGTATTACTAACTTTTCTAAATTGTAAAAGCACCATACTACTTTTCTAATTTTTTCTCTATTTCACAAGAAATTATCCACCATAAATAATGAAAATACAACCATGATTAAACAAATATTAATTATAATGTCACAATACTGAATTATCCTAAAGAAATAATGAAAATGCAGTAAATATCCAAAAGTTATGTTTCTTTTTTTCTTAAGGGTAATTGGAATTTTAGATTAAATGAATAAAAGTAAATATATAAGTTATGATTTATTGTATTGACTCTATTTTGGTTGCTTATAGGACAACTACATTATAATAAACTAATATGAATAAGTATGTATAATGATTCTCATTTTCTGTCCAAATAAAATACACCAAAATTCTATAAAAAGAAAAAAAAAAGAATAGATATCAATATTAAATTATTTTAATGAAATATTAATTTATAAATTTATTAATCGCAAAATACTATATATATCTCTTACAGTTCAAATAAAATACACAAAAAAGTATACAAAATAACATAATAAAATAAAAATTGGATATTAATCAACATTATTATTTTAGTAAAATGTTATTCCTTTTTTTATTTTCCAAAATCCATTAACTGATTAAGTTATATGAATTGTTTTTACCATGAGTGCAATTTTAGAGAGACGCAAAAGCTATGGGTAGCCGTCTAGTATATTTGTAATTTTTTCTTTATTAGTTATAAAATGTAATATACATACATTTTAGACATGATATTCAATATTTTTTCTTCATTGTCTTTTATAAATAAAGCCTAATTAAAGATTTTGGATATTTCAGTAGACCCTGAAATGTGAAAACTTAATACTACTTTTTCTATTTTTCTCTAATTCACAAGACATGCCCATTATACATAATGAAAATGGAAGTATGATAAAACATAAAGTAATTATAATATGACAATACTAAAATAATAATAATAATAATAATAATAATAATAATAATAATAATAATAATAATAATAATGATGATGATGATGATGATGATGAAATGCAATAGTATGATAAAATTTAAATGAATCTCAATGTCATATTTCAATTTCATTTGAAAAACATTTAGAGGACATATAAATTAGTGGTATACCTTAATATGCAACAATTTGTGATTGAAAAGGACCAACAATTTAGAAGGTGATGCTCCAAAATGCGACTATGCATACTCTTGTCATAAATAAATTAATATTTGTAGATGATGAAGAATAATGGGATGAGATTAATATATATTATATAAATAAAAAATAATTGTATATGACGAATAGAAAGTGAAAGAGTTGGAGACAACTTATATATAATAAAGAAGATAGGTGTGTGGTTGTAATGTGGTTTAAATAAAAGTTACAATATTACATTTATATCCTTCAAACAAAAGTTACATTTTTTTTTCTTAAGGATATTATTGGCAATTCAAGTTTCTATTTCAATGTGGTTGGATGAGTTACAAATCATCATTACCAACTCTAATTTCAAATTACAAATTATATTTATGTCCTTTAAAGTAAGATCTTTTGAGGGTAATATCTGTAATTCAAAATTTTCAAGAAACAACTCATCCTTTTAAGATAGTTATAGATTTGTCGATGCTCTTGGGCTTAATCTGTCTAAAGGATGTAACCCAATCATCTCTTGCAAGCATATGCCAAATTCCAGTTCGGTGCATGACTACTGTTAGTGGAACACCATAAGAGTGTTCACTTATGTTCTAGACAATTATATTTAATACTCCCTCCTATTTTTAATAAGTGTCGTTTTGATAAGTTGTATAGTAATTAAGGATCTTTTTTTTGCCAATAATGACCCTCATTAATGAGGATAGTGATGAATGTTTTGAGAAAAGATGAAGAGTGAATATGAAAAGACGTATTGTATTTATTAGCTGGATGGGGATAATAATGGGAAATATGTACAAAAGATCTAAAACGTCATTTATTTGGTTAATGAAGCCAAAATGACATTTAAAAAAAAATAGGAGGTAGTATATGAAATAACTGATATTCATTACTTGTTAAATGGTTTATCTTTTGCTCCTCTTGTTTTCATTTTTATTTCATTGTAAAAAATTTCCAGCATAGGCGTTTCACTAGAAGTAAATGATTTTTAGAAATAGTTGCAAACTTGATTCGATTCGATGGAACTCACTTACATAGAAGTAAAACTCACTTACATAGAAGTAAATTTTTTAAAATTTATTCTAGAAAATATTGTTCTCCCAGTTTTTGTTGGATACTTGCATCTTGAGAATTCTTGTAGACACAGATATAACTTGCATTTCTTTGACTTGAGATATTTGGATGACTGATATATTTTCTCTTGTAGAATATGGAGGTTCCATCTCAGAAACTTTCAGTAATGAATCGGAAGAGTCCCCAGATATCCTAAAGAGGAAAAAACAGTTTTTGTAGTATTGCATGAAAACATCTTGTAGAGTGAAAATTTTGAGGTCAACACATTGTAGAGTGATGCCATTTTTGTTCGATTGTCAATTTTGATATTTTTGGCTTATGAAGTTTCTGTTAGTAAGCAGTTTTACATATGTTTTGACAGTAATGAGTTTGTAGTGGTATCGAATTGTCTTTTCTTTCTATTTTTTCCTCAAACAATGATAGATTCTATATATAAATAAATAAAGATTACAGTTCACTGTTCACTCCACAACAAAGAGGACAACCAACTAATTCTTGGGTTTTACCCTAACTACCAATAGAAGACCAGAACAGAACAACGAAGACAGAAAAATGGGCACACAGGCTTAGCACAAAAATATGAAGGCCTGTGTGGCCCCGCAAAACAAAAATAAAGTTGAAGATTGTACCTCAGGCAAATTATACACCAGCAAATTTATATTGCAGATAAAATGAGAAACTTGATTTTCTATTGAATGACCACCGGATGTTAGAACACGGTTTTGACTATTTTTTTATAGTTAAATATTTAGTTTGGATTGAATTAATTTATGTAGAAAAAAATTACTTTCCAAGTAGATGCTTGTGTTATATTTATTTTTTCAAAATTTATTTTTTTGTGAGTGAGAAATAAATAATTAAATTAGACATTAATGACACGTGAAATATTGGTTGTGGAATTCGAAGGTCGAAAGTCCTATCACATTGGACTCTTAAATTAGGATAATTTTTTTCATCTAAACTTTTATAAAAGGAGTGATTTTGTAAAAAAAAAAAAATGAACGGATTAACAAGTCAACAGCAACAACATACCAAGTATATTCCCAACAGGTTGGGGTCTGGGGGGTCAGTTGTACGCAGACCTTACCCTTGTAATTATACAAGGAGGCTGTTTCCGTAGCGACCCAAGGTGCATTGCGCCGTTTGATATATTTTTTTTTTCTAGAAACTTCACAAATAGAAGAAGCACTAGAATTTAATTGAGCCATTTTGATCTAGTCCATTATTAGCACTATACCAAGAGAATTGTCAACAATGACTCTCCAGCTCCATTTGCAATGGACAATCGGATTAACAAGTCATTGTACTTAATTTATTTTTAAAGGTGAAGAAATAAAAATTGTAATTACAATTACAAATTCAATTGTTAAAGATTTTTAAAAAGTAAATAAAGTGAACCTAAGAATTTGAATGTCTGAGAATTCTTTACCAAAAATAAAATAAAATAAAATAAATAAATCCACTCAATTCTTAACGTGTAAGGGCTCTTAATAAAAATAAAATCCAATAGATCTAATATGTAACATGGATGGGTATACAATTTGCTTTAATCAAGGAAAAAAAAATTGTTATTTGCCTGTAAGAGTTCATTTGTCATAAAACACAAATGAACAAAGCTAACTCAAGTTTACTTAACAAATAACGAGGATTAAATAAAAATAACAAATAATCACTCCCTATATATTAATGCAAAATGTCATGTTCCAACGTCGATTTTTAGTGCTTCATAATATGTGTCGAATGCAGAATGTCGTGTTCCAACGTCGATTTTTAGTGCTTCATAATATGTGTCGAATCCTGATTATTCGTAAGCCTAATTATGTGTTTGGTTTGTAGTACATGCACATCTCCACTTCTATCCATGCCTAGACATGGCCAAAACACAGGCCCGGCCCAGTGGGCCGACGGGCTCGGAATCAAAGGACCATGAACCGGCACGGACCTAGATCGTGCTGGGTCCATGGCCCGGCGGGCCGTGTCGGGCCCAGACTCGAATAAAAAAAATTAAAAAACAAACAAAGTCACCCTGGCTGGACCGGACCCGACCCGGACTCAGCGCTGTCTGTCGGGCCAGGGTCGAAAAAATAAGGTTCTGGATCGGCCCGGTTAAAATCTGAGCTGGACCCGGACCCGTGGTCAACGGGCTTGATGGGGCCGGGCCGGCAGGTCGGGTGGCCCGTGGCCACCTGTATCCATGCCTATTAGGACCTTTAAATTAAAAAACACGTGACCAACTTAACTACAATATATATTTGAAAAGTTAATAACTTTCGTATTGGTTATCAAATTTTCATATATAATATATCAAATTATTTATTCTTCTTGCAAAAGGCTTTGATTATCCATATTGTATTCATAAATTGTTGATTGTGGGTTTGCCAACAGGAATACGAAACAGTAATATGCTTATTTTAGAGTTGTGAATTAGATTTACAGAAAAA